GGGGTGTCACCCTCTACATCAGTGACCACCTGGGAGTCTGTGGAACTCTGCCTGGGCATGGAGGAGTGACCAAAACCTTACAGGTCAGGGTTAAAGGGAAGACAGGAGATGTCATAGTGGGGATCTGCTACAGGCCACCAGATCAGGACGGCTGAGCAGATGAGGCCCTCTACAGGCAGATATGCTCACAGGCCCTAGTCCTCATGGGGTATTTCAACCACCCTGATATCTGCTGGAGGGACAACACTGCAAAGCACCAGCAATTCAGGAAGTCCCTGGAGTGCATTGATGACAATGTCCTCCTGCAAATGGTAGAGGAACCAACAAGAAAGGTGCTGTGCTGAACCCTCTTCTCACCAACAGTGCTGGGCTGGCTGATGATGTAAGACTTAATGGGAGACCAGGCTGTAGCAACCATGACATGGTTGAATTCAGGATCCTTAGGGTAGTGAGGAAGGAGCAAAACAAGCTCACTACCCTCAATTTCAAGAAAGCAGATTTTGGTCTCTTCAATGGTCTGCTTGGCAGGGTACCCTGGAACAAATCCCTAGAGGGAAGGGGAGCTGGTCCATATTCAAGGATCCATGTGCAGGAGCTACGTGTCCAGTGAAGAGGAAGGCAAGTTGGGGAGCTATGAGGCCTGTATGGATAATCAGGGAGCTTCTGGACACAGTTAAAGGTAAAAACAAGGCATACAGAGAATGGAAGCAGGGCCAGGTGTCCTGGGGGGAGTACAGACAAGTTGTCAGAGAAGCAAGGGATTGGGTAAGGAAGGACAAAGCACAGATAGAGTTGGACCTGGCAAGGGATATTAAGAGTAACAAGAAAGGTTTCTACAGGTATGTCAGCAATAAGAGGAAGATGAAGGAAGCTGTGGGCCCACTTCAAAAGGAAAATGGTGACCTAGGCGTGCAGGACATAGTGAAAGCTGAGATAATCAGTGACTACTTTGCCTCAGTCTTCACTGGCAAAGGCTCTGGTCACACAGTTAAAGTTAGAGAAGGCACAGGCATGTGCCCTCCATGACTGTGAAAAGGAAGATTTCCTCACTGTAGGAGAAGAGCAGGTTCGTGGCCTCTGAAGGACTTGAAGGCACACAAGTCCATGGAATCTGATGGGATTCATCCATGGCTCCTGAAGGAACTGGTCAATGAAGTTGCAAAGTCTCTGCCCATCATATTTGAAAGGTCTTGGCAGTTTGGAGAAATTCCCACTGACTGTAAAAAGGGAAACATATCTCCCATTTTCAAGAAGGGAATTAAGGAAGACCCAGGGAACTATAGACCAGTCAGTCTCACCTCTGTGCACAGCAAGATCATGGAGTGGATCCTCCTGAAGGCTCTGCTAAGGCATGTAGAAAGCAGAGGGGTAACTGGTGACAGCCAACATGGCTTTACCAAGGGCAAATGCTGCCTGACTAATTTGGTGGCTTCCTACAGTGGGGTCACAGCATCAGTGGACAAAAGAAAAGAAACTGATATCATCTACCTGAACCTGTGCAAAGCTTTTGCCACCGTCCCGCATGACAGCCTGGTATCAAAACTGGAATAGTGTGGATTTGATGGATGGACCACTCTTTGGGCAAGGAACTGGCTGGATGGTTGCACTCAAAGAGTGTCGATCAATGGCTCGATGTCCAGATGGAGACCTGTGATGAGTGGTGTTCTCTAAGGGCTGGTACTGGGATTGGTGCTATTTAATATCTTTGTCAGTGACATGAGCAGTGGCATCAAGTGTACCCTAAGCAAGTTTGCTGATGATACCAAAGTGTGTGGCAAAGTCGACACACTGGAGGGAAAGGAGGCCATCCAGAGGGACCTTGACAGGCTTGAGAGGTGGGCTCTTGTCAACCTCATGAAGTTCAACAAGATCAAGTGTAAGGTTCTGTACCTGGGTCAGGGCAACCCCAAGCACAGATACAGGCTGGGTGGTGAATGGATTTAAAACAGTCTGGACAAGAAGGACTTGGGAGTGATGATGGACAAGAAGCTCAACATGAGCCAGCAGTCTGTACTTGCAGTCCAGAAAGCTAAGCTGCATCAAAAGAAGTGTAGTCAGTAGGTCAAAAGAGGTGATTCTACCCCTTTACTTGGCTCATGTGAGACCCCACATGGAGTACTGTGTCCAACCCTGGAGCCCCCAACATAAGAAGGAGATGGAGTTTATGGAGAAAGTCCAGAGGAGAGCTATGAAGATGAACCAAGGGCTGAATCACCTCTCCTAAGAGATCAGGCTGAGACAGTTGTGGCTGTTCAGCCTGGAGAACAGAAGGTTCCGGAGGCGACCTTGTAGTGGCCTTCCAGTACCTGTAGGGGCCTACAGGAAAGCTGTGGAGGAACTTTTTACAAGGGCTTGTAGCAAGAGGACAAGGGGTAATGGATGAAAACTGGAAGAGGGGAGATTTAGGTTATACATTAGGAGGAAATTCCTTAGTCTGAGGATAGTGAGACACTAGAACAGGTTGCCCAGGGAAGTTGTGGATGCCCCATCCCTGGAAGCATTTGAGGCCAGGTTGGATGGGGCCTTCAGCAATCTGATCTAGTGGGAGGTGTCCCTGTCAATGGCAGAGGAGATGGAACTAGGTGATCTTTGAGGTCTCTTCCAACTCAAGCCATTACGTGATTCTATGATTGTATAATTTTCAACCATTCATGCAAAGTCTTTATTTATATATCCTTTCTGTCAACCAATCATGTAAATTATTAATGACATTCACATTTCATGAAACTGCTAGTAAATACTCATTCAAGTAATTTGGTAACAGTAGAAAATGTTTCATTTGTGAAATGAAATTGCATTTTAAAGGCTGAGAAAATAATGATGCAATGTATTATTCTCCTGTTTAGTATTTATTCATTGCTTCTAGACAGCAAAAATGCTTAAGTTCAGAATATCTGCTTTGCTTTATTACAAACACGTGTGTATGTTCACCCATTCTGAAGAAAAACAGAACCTCTGTATCAGACAATATTTTATTAAAAATATAAGTAACAGTGTGACATCCAGCCAATAGGAAAATCTAACTATACCTGGGAAACATTGTGCTTAAATGTTTCATTAGTGTCTTTTCTCCACTTAGGGAAAACAATTACTAGGCATTATTTTATTGCTAATTCTAAAGGGACAATATACTAGATATGGCTATTAAAACGAATGGTTATAATCTTCATTAAGGTTCCAAATATGCTTATGTAAATGGACTGGAGGGGGGAGAAGGGGCGAATAAAACAAACAACAACAAAAAAAACCCCAAACAAGCCCTTCAACCTTTGAACTGGATTTTATTAGTTCTGCAGAAATTAAAGCTGTAATTCGCTGTTCCCTGAATGTCCACACTGTATTGTATGCTGAACAGGCTAGTGGAAACTCTTCCCTAATTAGAAAATATGCTGAAGTAAGCAGGTGCTTTATAACACAAAACAAATATTGATCATGATTGCCAAATCCATTGCAATATCTAACCATAATGCACTATGATTTAACTTTGTATAATTACTTTCACAAAAATCTGCCATCAAATATGGGCCTACTTCTTATTTATTCCTGTGTTTGAAGAAAATGGCCTCATAAAACTCCTGTCTACATTTTATTTCTGATGTCAGAGCTGTTGTGTTTGCATCGAGGTTTGATGCTTGGCCAATTACACAATTAAGAGCATTCTCTTCATGAGAATAAAAGCTGATAAAATGTCCATGAAATCTTGCAAAATGCCGTTACAAGGGTCTCATAAATGTAACATTTCTGTTACAGTTTTGGGATTTACACCTTGTGTTGTCCTTTCACAGAAGCAAAGATGCACAAAACCACTGTAATAACCTCTTGAAATCAGATAATATTCCAACAGCTCAGTTTCACTGACAGAAGGGGCCTGGGCATACGCCAAGAGGCCCAGGTGCACTGTGTCATGCCAGTATTTAATGTAGCCTAATATCAGATAGATGCTAGTGAGAGAAAATACTCAGAATAAAGTACAGATAATAGCACGGACAACCACTCATCGCTAAATTACTTCTGCTCATCGTGCTGTGAGCTTTGTATTAAATTTTTTCGTCAAGTGGCAGGAATCATAGGGAGAAGTGGCTCACAACTCCCTTCTTGTAACCCTGGATAAGGATCTATAATATTAGGCTTTCATATGATAATGGCAAATGATGCCCCTCTTTGAAAAATTTCAGACTGGTAATGAAAGTCCTAATCAGATTGTTGTTGCAGAGATTCACGAGGTGGGGGATGATGCCCTTCCTTCTCCTCCCCCCCTCGTTAGCAAATTTAGCAAATTTGACAAGATGGGTTAAATCTTGGAGAATTTATCTTACATGAATTTCCAACAAAGCTCGTGGGCTGTTTTATAAAACTGGAAGGTAGTGCTTTAATAAAAGCTGCACCACCTGAGGCATTTTCATTACAGGCTCTCTCTAGACAACATCACAATGTTTGCATTATCCTCCTACACCCCCAAGAGAATACAAGCACTACCTTTTCAGCAAGAGTTGATATTGTGTGTGAAGGCACGAGAGAAGATGATTACATTTTCCTTTTACTCACAAAGTAACCGCTTGCAACAATACTGTGGTCAGGATTAAAATTCATTGAATTTCTGTTGTCCACCATTTGAATGGTAAATTGTATTTTTCAGGAAAAGATACATTCTGAAGGTTTTAATAGTCAGTCACGTGAATGAAGATTTTACTCCTAACCAAACATTATTCTCAATGACTATACTATTTATGCTATCTGGGCTCTTAAATAATGACAGTAATTAGCCGATTAGGCCACTACAGAAAACAGGTGCAAGGCTCTGGAGTGGAAGCACCGATGTACAGTATAAAGGACCTCTGGCATTTAAAAAGATTAATCTGTTCAGCGTGTTTAGCAACAGGAAACACAAATCACTGAATTCTGAAACATAATGTTACCTCTGTGGAAAAATTTCACGCACACACACTGAATGCATATTTAGAAAGGTTCATTGATGTTTTCACCCATTTCAGTGAACTCACCATCTGTGTAGACTTCTCTGCGCAGATGTCCTGGCTGGTGTTTCTGCTTTTTGGCAGGTCGGACCTTCTGTATTACCACAGCACTCATGTTGCTGTCAGTAGACACGGGGCTGGTGGGTCTAGGACAGTGTGATGCATGAAAATGTCTACGGCCTGGAAATGGTTAGAGAACAATAGCTATTATTTTTCTTATCTAAAATAAGACCTTTCATACTTTCTCTTTCTTCACATCAGAATGACCTAGCTGTACAAAACCTGAAAATACACTGTTGGAACAATAATAGAACTCTTATCCTTCCCGTAGTCAGTTTTAGGGTGAGCTGTAATGAAACTGAAGCATTTCTCTCAGTAGGGAGGTTGTCTTAGTTTCACAGAAATTATCCAGCTGGTTGGTGGCTGGTACCTCCCGCTCCAGGAAGCTAAACACCATGGGCAGTCAAACACAGGCAGGCTTCTCGTCCTCCAGAAACAACAAAACATTGGCTTTCAAAAGGGATTTCACCTCCCCTAGCTCAGGCAGCATGAGGTCACCTGTGCCAATAGCACAGCAGGTCAGTAGCAGGTCTCAGGTACAGATGCCTACTCTGCTGCTTAGAGTGGACGACCATGAATGCGTTGGGGGTGAATGACAGACATTTTATCACAGCTTATTTGCAGATAAGAAGCACATTTTTAGAACGTACAGTCAGGTATAGGGAATACGAATACATAAAAATCACTGCAAAACATGAACTTGACTGTTGTAAAACTATTTATCTGTAATAGGAATGGGATGTAAAAAGACCTCTTCTAAATATATACATTCACACACACATATTTGTATGAATATATATGTATGTATAAAATGGATAAAATCCTGGCCCCATGAGTATGAATGGGAGTTTTGCCACCTACTTCAATCGGCCAGGATTTCATCCAGAATTACTAAATTACCTCCCCTCTCACTCTTCATGATGAACAGCTGTGTTGAAATCAAACAAAGGACTGTTAACTGGGAGAGGATATCAGAAATGGGAGGAACGTTGCAAATCTGTGGAGTCAGAGTGGACACTGTACCTCTTATCTAGCTTTGGCAGTTTAATTATTTTGACTGGCAAAAGCATTCATGTATCTGCTTGAAACCTGCATCCCACCCTGTGGTATTCTTATTTCTTAGTGGAACTAGAACAATATCCACTGGGTCTAGTTACTGATCATCTAGCTGATTACCCATTATACTTGGTGTTACTTGTAAACAGTACACTGTAAAACATGAAATATTTCAAATATCATACTTCATGTGGCCAGTGGTGATGCAGGAGAAAAAAAAGAAGTAAGGAACATATGCATAAGGCCTTTCTGCATATTCATAATCTGTAATCTAAAAGTGCAACTAAAACCAGCTGTCAAATTATGAAACCAACACAAATCCAGTTCATCTCAATAACACAGCAGTAAGTGTTTGAACAGCATTATCCAAAACATAAGAGACAATATATAAAATGGAATAAATAAATAAATTCTTGTTTTTCAAATCCAGGGGAAATGTGACTCAAAAAAAAGGTTTACTATTTATTTGGACATTTCAATACAGAGGGATTAAATCTCTCATGAATAATGACTGAAAACATGGAATGTTTTCATGTCTTATACTAGGAAAAGGATATAAATCTGTAATCCTTTTTTTTTTCCCCCTCCTAAGTGGGCATCACCAGCAGAGTTGAGGGGGGCTACCAGGCCATGAGACCAAAATATTAGGAAAGGCTTATACTAGGAAAAGGATATAAATCTGTAATCCTTTTTTTTTTCCCCCTCCTAAGTGGGCATCACCAGCAGAGTTGAGGTCTGGCAATAATCCATGAGACCAAAATATTAGGAACTACTTATGAAACACAATGTACAGTGAGCAGCAATTTATTTGAACTGTTTTACCAAAACTCCTTTTCTGACTCTTCCACTAATGTGAACTGACCCACCCCCCTCCTGAATTTATAATGTTGCAAGAACAAGAATACTCAGGAAACAGTTGTGGATAAATATATGTCACAATGGCCATTCATTTCCTTCTCCTATCAAGTAGAGGACAAACTCACCTCCTGCTGCATCCTGCATTTGACGTCTGGCTACTTTCAGGCCAGCATATTCTGCAGCTGCTGCAACAGCCTGTGCAAAATCTGCATCGGTAAAAAATGATCCATCTGAAGAGCTAACACTAGACCGCCCACTTGAGATGTTATCTTCTTCCGAGGCTGAACCCCAGCCATTGATCATGGACCCTGTTACAGAGCTCTCCAAATCCCCAACGCTGGAAGCAGGTGTCTGCTCGAGGCCACGCAAAAGGAGCCTTCTGTTCTGCATCTTGGCAACCTCTATATCTGCCTCATCCTCTTCCTCTTCTGGTGCATCAGTATCCATATCAGAGACCAAGGGCCCTGAGATATATCCATAGGTATGCGGCGGGGAGATAGGTCTTGGAGGGGGTGGAGGACTCACAGGCTGACGTCTGCATAAAAATACAAGGGTAAGAAGAACTGAAGTCATATAACATAGTCAGAGGAAATAGTAGATTGATGAAAATATTTATTTCCCAACAAGCTTGACTTGCCTTTCTAAATCAACAGAATTTATATATGAAATGTTCAGGGTAGGGTTTTTTTATTATTATTTTGTTTTTATTTTTGCTGTAAACCAGAACTGACAGCTATGTAGTTTGAAATCTACCACAAAGAAATCTGACTTCTTAACAAGGTTCTTTTAACACTAATTTTAATGAAAATTGGCTTATTTTGCGTAAAGCTTTTCCTTTTTCCTAAAGTAGCACATACACATCCAGGTGAAGAGGTGTTTACAGTTCATGTGAGTGTTAAAAAAACATTTTTGTGCACCTGTGAGAGTAGGAGTAAAAGAAGTGTACGTGTATTGCTCTGGAAGCTAGAAATTATCCATGTCAACAGATGCCTCTCTCCAGACAGATTGTCTCTATAAACATTATCTTTCCTCCAACCATCCCAGTGATTCAGAAAGTTATACGAAGTTATACTGTTATTTCATTATTTTTTAAATTGGGCTAGGTGACAGGTCTTAAGGATACCAAAATCCAGGTAGATGTATAGGTTAATTTATTTTGAGCTTTAATCATCAATAATAGTGTCTCCAGCTTAAAAAGGCCAAGTATATAATTTGATGAGTGTTCTTGGGTAGTTAAGATTTCACCCAGAAGTTCCAGGCAGTGACACTGTCAACAGTTTTTCTTCACAGGGCCACAGGATTGCTCGTTAATTGCCATGTGTCTGCTAGGAAAAATATTTTCTGCAGCAATGGCTGCACTGTTGGCTTCGCTTACCAGGAATTTCCAGTGCAGTTTGCTTTGCAAAAAATTTACAAAGTAATTTTACTTTGTCACTTTTTCCCTTTTATTATCTCATTGGCAAGCAGTGACGTGACTCTCAAAAATATTTTCATTTGGGGAAGATGCCATTTTCTTTATTTTATTTTAATAAATGGAAATACTAATCTCAAAAGGAAAATTTGGCAAGAAAGAACATAATATTTTGTGGAAAACACAAACTGGAACCTCCCAGTACTACATGATCTAACCACTGTTTTCCACACGCTATATGAAGTACTGAATGGCATGAAGGTCAGTTAGGGATATATACACAATAATTTAATACCCCCCTCCTTCCCAAATCCCAGAAGTCATTGCTGCATGGGAATCTTTACCTGCCTTTGACTAGAGACCTCGCCCAATGTTTTACTGACTTAATTTAAAGCTCTTGTGACAAATGTCCTTGCGATATACTTGCCAGTCTGTATTTTCTAAGTTTTGATAGTAGGAGACAGGCAACTGGCTACAAAATAGGTTAGGGTTTTGGAAAATATATCAGGCCTGCCAACTTTCAAGTATAGTCTAATTGAGAGCAGTTGGTTCACGGCCATGCAGAACTAACAATACTTTGTTCACTTTATCTGATGCAGTGGCTCTGGCTTTAACAGTGACATTATCTCCTATCTTAGCTCTCACTTTAACATTGACATAATCTGCTATTTCACTGCATCTTTTTCTTTGCTTGTCCACTCTTCCAGAGCACCAATTTCTACTTCAGTTTTTTAATTGGAAAGTGTTGTCACACCATATTCAAAACAAGAGACACCTTCCAGAATGGGCTACAGCTGTTGAGCACAGTACATCCAACTCATACACAGCAATACCATGGGTCATATCACTGCTGTTAGATGGAAAAGGCAAGCCTGCCTTACAGATCAAGTAAATAGAATTCTGTCAATCTTTTTTAACTGATGAGATGGATGTAGCAAGAAGAAAAGAAATAATGCTTGAAAAAGTAAGAAAAAAAGATTAAATTAGTCACTAACAATTCTAAGACTTTCAGCAAAGCTAGACTTAACCATTGCAGGAAGGAAAAAAACCCACACACTTCTTATTCTTTCAGTTTACTCAATGAGAGTTTAAGATGTGTGCCGGAAGAGCTTAAATTTGAGCACCCTTCCAGATACTTTTGCTACCACTTTTGATGACATTTATGGTGACTAGCTATGAGTCTTTGTGTTGAGCAAACGTTCTACTATCCAGGCAGTTGTTGGCTGGCTATGCATGTTTGCACACATCTGCTTCTATGCCTGCTCCATTCTGTATGTTAATATGCACTCCCCTCTCCTGAACAGGAGGTCCTGGAAAGTCACTAACACATTGCTCACTTAGCATTTCTCTTTTCCATTAGTACCCAGCTAGTTTAACCTCTAAATAACCCAGAAAACTTAAGTGACTAAAATGAACATGTGCTCTGACATACCAGGATCAATGGAAATTAGAGGAAAATAGTATTAGCCACTTGCTAATAAAAACAGTGATTTTTAAGATTCAGGAAGATGGAAGAAGATCCACAGTATAAGAAGTGTTACCATAAAGAATAAAGAAAAAAAACAAAGCTGACGAAGTAGAAGCAGGGAGCAAAAGTCAAAGCAGATACAGAACCTTTAAAAAAAGAGTAGTAACTACTGCTTAATTAAAAAAAGGAAACATAAAACCAAACTAACTTATCAAGAAACATTCTGGAAAATACATCTATAAATGTCCAGTGAGCTATACTAATAAAATTGAAGTTCTACAGTTTAATTTGCAAGATCAAATTAATTTCATCATAATAGGCCCACATGTCACTAAAAATAGAAAGTATGACTGTAATATTGCTAGAAACAAGAAAGTTTGTATATTTGTGATATCAAACACTATGTGCAAACCACTGGCAAGAAAAAAAAAAAAAAAGAATTATCTGTGATGGAAAAGCTGTGCCTTCTTAATAAAAAGCAACATGCATAAGCATGATGCATAAAAAGCCTCATACAGAATTCACTGTTTTATGGAAGAGAAGCTGTGAGAATGCACGTGCAAAATATTTTGTACTAAAAGAAACACAGAGAAGGAACAAAATTTCCCTGTAACAAATATCTATCTTTATTAATGTTGGTCATTCCTGTAAATAAGGGTAGGTGGATATGTTAAGAAAATTTTGCAAGAAATAATTTCCCGGTTTAGATTTATGGGAGGAGAAAAATCTATAGGCTTTATAAATTATATATTTATATATATTCATACATATTGGTGACAAGCTAATTGCACAGTTACTGTGGAATAATGCATGCTATTTTATGGTAATAATGCAGTAAATCTATTGGAAACAATGGAACTGTAATTATATGGTAAGCTGTGTTAACGATACCACTTTAATATCCTGATGACTGTGAATTTAACTTATGTCAGCATTGCACGTATCGTAAAGGGATAAACTGCATTTCTTTCCATGGTATAATAATAAAGCAACCTAATTATGTATTTCTTAGGTCAAAAATAATTCTAGAGTCCTAGATTAGAAGTTAAATATTAACAGGAGAAATATAATGGAGACAATCTTGACCTCACTGAATTCAACAGAAATTTCCAGTGGGGCCAGGATGACTTTTGTCACATCCTTCTTGCTACATTTGCATTGACACACCTCCGGTCAGGTTGGTGTTGTATGTGTCCCAGATCCTCCTGACAGTCCTGTAACATGGGCTGGAGTTCTTCCTGGGGAGAGGGCGTGAGAGTGGCAGTTGACTGATGGCTATAGGAGACAGCGGCTGGAGAGGAAGCTGCTCCTCGGACAGGTGGAGTAGGACCTCGCTCATCTTCTTCCTCTTCCTCTAGCTCATCCTGCTGCAGATACATCCTTGCAGGTGGGACAGGACAAGGAATTTCTTGGTCATAGCTAAAATTAATTTATTAAGAAAATAAGGACTTAAATTTTTATTCTGTAATTAGCATATCTGATACAAATATAAATAGCCAAAAAAAGCATAATTTTCATATGTGCTCTTGAAAACAGCTTAATAAGGATGTCCTGAGTGGATATACACCACTGTCAGTAAATGAGCTTTAAATAGCCACATTACAGGTAGACGAGGAACACCAGGATGGTACTGAAGGAAGGTCTCACTGCCAGCTTGTAGGACAAATTACAGTTCAATTAACTAGCAGTTAAAGTGAGAAATGGATGATGTGTTTGTTTTTCTTACCTTTCATCCACCGAAAGACTGTAATCTTCACTATTGCTATGGGGAGGTGGATGTGCTGGAGGGGGTGGAAGAAGATCTGCCCAGTTCATGCCAGCTTGTTTGGGAGCCTTTGGGGTCCGAGCACCCTTCTTATGCCCTTGACTCCCTGTGAATAAAAAGCAGTACATATTTGTAATGCTCTTAAGTATGTCCTCACCACTAGCTTTGAAAAACAAAATAACTATAGTCCCTCTTGAACTCTCTGGGAATATACTGTTGTGCTGAGTTGAACTGACTTTCCTCCTTTTTACACCAATTTGTAGTTGTACATTCTTTATAGATGTTTTCTCTATTTTAAGCAGTAGAATTTAAACAGAAACTTAACATAGCACATGGGATAAAAAACATGAATTGTTTATAAATAATCAAAATGCAAGAAAAACAAATTAATTTTACAACCTACATCATTAAGAGTGAGCTTCCAACTTCTATTAATTATATTACAGATTATCATCTAAAATAAATGAGCTGTAGACATATTTTCTAAAGTGCCTTTACACTATTTAATTGCTGGAACCTAAAATACAATATGATAGAGATATGATCTATAAAAGTTCCACTGTTGCATTAAGTGACCAAACATATGTAATTTGTACTTGTCCACTGGAAGGTTTTAGGCACAATGAAATTACTAGTTTTAGTCTAAATGGCAGGTGCAGTTGAAAATAATTGCTGGAAGAGCTAAAATAACAGAAAAAGGAAGAAAGAAGATCAATGAGGTATGGCACAAATATTTTCAACTACTATTACTGGGAAATTATAGCCCACAATAGCACAATGCAGTTTGAACAGTTCCAATACTTTTGAGTAAGACCAATTAGTCAGTTAATCTTGAATTTTAACTTTGGACATGGCTATGTGAACTGATTCTACCATGACTCTTGGTATACATAGTTATCCTTCTTTGTTATTGTTACTTATTTAACTGTAGATAAAAGTCAATGCATTTTTTAGTATGTTTTGGAATCCTTCACATTTCCCTCTTCAGCTGAGGCATTGTTTCATACTACCATAGTTAAGCTTTGTATACATTACTAAATACGTTGCACTGAGATTTAGGAAGCTAGGTTTTCTCATTTCTGCTGTCTCAGATTTTCCATTCTTACAGATAGTAGTGCTTATTATTGTTCCCATATTAGCTGCCAGATACAAATATGTATTAGCTATGTACAATTATTTTTCTGGTATCTCAGTATATCAAGCAAGACTCTAGCTATCCCAAGGCGACCATCATCTGCATTCTCTGCCCTAACCACCGTGATATATATTAGGTTCAGCACAATTAATTTATTTCTCTGGTCCCCTTGTTTCATTCCTGCTTAATTCTAGTCCTTGGTACAGGACTATAAATTGTTAGCATTATGAATAATCATAATAGGTGCTAGCACACAGAACACCACCTTCTCATTTTTCATTTGCATGGGTTCACATCCCTGAGATGTTTCACACTCAATTTCTGGTTTTAACATCATTGAGCAGAGCCTCAGCACCACATCCTGATGTTGAAGACCTGGGAACAGGCAAAAGGCTGGCTCCCAGAAGAACACGCCTGAGCAGCTGGGAGAATTGGGAGCTGTGCTTATCTCACCCCAGCCACTGAAAATTCAGGTCACCCAAAGTTTACAGCAGGCTCATCTACATCTTTATGCCTCTGTTTATGCCTCAATCACCATCAGTCAAGATCTTGCAGGTTAGGATTAAGGCAACTGGATTATCAAAGACAATAGCAGAACAAAAGGTGAAAAGTCCTTGTCAAGATTAGCAGATGTAAACTTCAGGGCACTGGTGACTGTGATCATAATTTACACTGTAATTGGCGTGATGTAAATAAGCAGAGCCGAAATATCAGTAAAGCTCCAAACCAAGCCTATGCATAGTTTTTGACTTAGCGCTGAATATTTCACACACCTCTACCAAAAATCAAATATGAAAATGCACAGGTTGTACCACTATGAGAACCAATAACTTTTGAGTTAAACCATATTCTATGGTTCCAAAGTGCAGAGCGCAATTTCAGTGCCCTGGCTGGCATTCTCCAGCACAAACAGCTGTCTGGTTTCAAGAGTTTTGCAAAGAACTTTTAGATATTTTGCATAGGACATTCCAGTGAAAAACAAAATTTAACTTCAATTATCTACCACCTACATTTGAATGATGTACAAGAATAATTTTGACACACGGCCACTGAAATCCATAAAAATGTTATCTATGTGTGCATGCTTTTTTACTCAATAAAATACATGGGTTTAATTAAAAACAAAAAAAAAACCAAAAAACCAAACAAACTTAAAGCAGTTCTGTTACAGGTATCTTGAGCCTGTTCAGGAATAAGGTTGTCTTGGGTGAGTAGACCCAAGAGATAAAAAAGAAGTCATTAAAGTACCAGGAAGGTAACACATACATTAAAATCCTTATTTTTATGACTACTGAAAAGTGCTAACCACAGCTGAAGTGTCCAAACACCAAAAACCCTACTGTTAGGAAAACAGTGTAGCTACTCACCCGATGTACTACTGCCTCTGTCCGAGCTGTTGTATGATCCACCTGTATTCTGGTCGTATGACTGGTTGTATGGAATGGTTGGAGCAATGTTGTCATTTACCCGGTAATCTGCAAGTTCAACAGTATAGTTAATGCTACCCTTTCAGAAATGCGTCTACGTTTTTATACCTGCTGTGTAACACAAAGTAATTTCTCCTGAAAACAGTGAGGAAGAAATAAATTGATTTATTGAAAGGAAAATAATTCTATAACCATGGCATATTTCTTGTTTTAATTGTAAGTTTAAGGAAAATCATGGGAACTTGTAGCTTCATGGTAAAAAAAGGAAGCAAAATGAAATCTTACAGGGCTATCTCAATGCCTCTGCAAGGATTAAGTCTCAATGGATGTATAAACGACCTGTAAGAGCATTTTGCATATGAACAGACTGTCACCTTGATTGATTTTCCATGGTCTCTGCTTAATTTACACACTCATGGAAGCCAATGGACTGTGGTAGCTACTATTTGTATTTCAAAGGTGACAAACCCATGTAGGAGTCAGCTCTGCATTACAAGGGCTGAATGATCTGCTGGAGCAACAATGCAGCTCCACTCAATTTGGTTTACAACAGAAAAAGTCTTTGTTTAATGCCTGCTGGCTTCAAGAAGACTTCTGTTTATAGTGGGTCATGCAGGTTCTAGCTACAAGTAGGGCCTTTTTTCTGTTCATGGCTATTACTGAAACTTCCTTCTCCAGTTCCAAAGCATTTGATATACATACATTACTTTTAAATCTAGATTTGGCAACCAGAGCAGTAAAATACTCATCTGACAAAACAGTACTCTCATGCCAAAAAGGAATTGTAATTTACAGAGAACAGAAAGGAGCTGAGTTACTCTTCATACAGCAAATAAAACTGCGTCATAAACAGAACCACTGGAGATAAAATAGTGACGATGAAGCACAGCATGTAACTCATCCAAATGGTTATTTCCCATCACAAAAGCTATAGGTATAATCATCAGCAAGATGGTTTTGACTTAGGAAATGAGAAAACCAAGATCAGAATATTGACTCATAAAATTGCAAATCGAAACAAAAATAAACAAAACTAAAAATCCAGTCCCCATCTGCTGCAGAAATGTTTGTGATAATATAAGCATGGGAAAAAGCGCAAAATGATAAATTCCACACCAGAGTGTATTCTATGATAGTTTCTCAGCCTAGTTGCATTCCAGAGACCACGCTGAAGCCCTACATACTGCATATGTTTACACAGAGGATAAACAGTAAATCAACACTCTGAAATATGTATATATGACTGTCAGCAGACAATGCTTTAAGGGGGCCTTTCCACACTACAATATGCTAGAGAATATGCAGCTGTAATATACACAGTTTGAAAGATGCAGTATTTTCCAGGGTATAAAAACCAAACATATTTTAATTCCAGAACAGATATGTAATACACAGTTCATGAAAGAAAATGTAATTACAAAAAATACAGCTTTCACCCTATAGTAAGAAGCCACAAAAATCAAATTTTCTTTTGAAATGTTTATGTCAAGGGAAAGTGTCACATTTTATATTGCCCTTTGAACTCCACTGTGAGTAGATGGGTCCGGTAGAGAAATCAACATTCCTGTAATCAAACTTATCTTTTTACTGGATAACTTATCAATACGTGATCACTTGAGTTACAACAATCCATGCAAAAAGTTTCATGTTAGAATGGGTCCAGTTCCTAGGGATACTGTTTTGCAAATCAGGTTATTAAAAGAGGTTGCATGGTAGCCTGGAGGACTAGCAAGAAATCACATACCTATTTCTTCCAACTCCCACACATTATATTAAAGAAACATGCCCTCAAGGCCACAGAAGTACATTCTTATGTTTCCCGTTAACACTGAAATCAATTTATTTTTAGCTTCTGGATCCACACATCTCAGGCAAGGTAACAAAGGAATTTAGTTTCCAAAACTGTGTGCAGTAGCATTGCCTCTCAGTATGTGAATCAAAGGCATGCTACGTAACAAGTCTAAAATGACTTGGATCACTCCATTTGTGTCCCCCGTGTACAACACAATACAATTTTACAGAGTTTGATATGCAAAATTTCATTCGTTTACATGATCATGTAGATTTAATTAGTCTCCATCCACGACTGGGAAGAGTGGGTTGACCTATTTAAAATTTAAGGTAGAGTATAATGTGACTACCATGCATCTGGCTTATGAATAAAATATCTGGCCTCTATCCTAAACAATCCCTTAACTACTATTAAATTTAACTTAATCTCAAATTCATAGGAAATGTATTTTATTTAACACTTTTCTAAAAATGCAGCTTGTTATTTTTATAATAAATTCACTACCTGAAGGTTATTGTGGTGCTAATTAACTTTTTGACACGCTAACTGTGGATTTCTAAATCTAAAGAGGCAGAAGTCTAAAAGCACCACAGAAGACTGTAATTGCTGAACCTGAAAGCTTTAGACTCCCAGCACGAGAAGGTCAAAACTCCTCTAATGCTTAAAGAGGAGAAACAAGCTAAAAGCTCTTCACCTTTGTTTAATTTGTTTTGCTCCATAATGTTGTACTGTATGGGTGCAACCTCTTGCTTTTGCTGAACAGAGGGTTTCCAGTGTTTCTCATTCGTATCCCCGCTGCCATTGTTAACATTATTGCTGATATTTGACTGGATGAGTTGAGTGGTGGCATAAGGAGTGGGCTGCCCAGGCTGGCTGACAAATCTTCCATCCTTTAGATTTGGACTATTGAAGGTTTTCATCTCATTGATTTTATTGCTGAGGTCCACGTCACCATATACAGTTGACTCAGGCAACATCAGGTTTGTCTGCTTGTTGTCCAGCTGATTGTTGTAATTTGCTATACAATCGGCTAACCACAGAGGAAAGAAAAAAGAAAAGGTCATTCTGTTCGCTCACACTATACTTCCAATGAAATTCCCTTTACATTTTTTTGGTGCATAACTACATGGCTTGTATCCATGAAGTAGAGATACTGCAATTAATTTACTACTTTACAGAGCCTTATTTACCTTATAAGCTACTGTTTCGAAAGTAGTGTTCATTGTTTTGATTCACTGCAAATTCAGACCTTCTGAATTGTATCTACAATGACTTACCTTGCTGGGCTTTTTCAACAGTGTAAATATTTGCATTTTTAGACATTATTCTCAAAGCAGTATCTATAACCAATCAATAGCTGTGATTAAAAATAACTTGCATTGAAAGAAAAAAACAACCAAAACTTAACAGTGGGAATAACTGAATATGACAGTCATCTCATGTCATCTCAACAGCATTTAGACTTTCTTGCACTTGAGATAAGAAACTGAGATACATCATATTTTTATAAAACAGACTGAAATATGATAACACATAATAGAAGTGAAGAGAAACAGTACAACATGAAATGTAACTCAGTGCCCAGTAGGAAGTCTTTATTTGATCATTGTTTCCTTGTACATTCTTATGTTTTAGTTTGAGACAAAAAGACAGGAAAGCAAGCTGGAACTTTTGCTAATTTTTAGTTGTTTTTTGGATATCACAAAATAAGTAATACCAGACTAATATCATTGTCCCGTATGCTAAATAAATATCATATAGACAGTACAAATTCATTCTTTTAAGAGCTGTTGCATCATGAGATCATCATTTCTTGCAGAGAGTAAATTAGACACGTACTGATGTTGTGACCACAACCGTGTGAACCAGTGTGCCTGCCTTTCCATGTGCTGCTTCCACATGACAGCAGCTCCAGAGACTTCCAGTGCCCTCCATATCCAATCCGCTGGAAAAATACTGAATGGACTAACACAGTCTGTCGGTCAGCAGTTAGAAGGCTTAGTGAAACCAAAATTCAGTAATTATTGAGCAAAAATTCTCATTTGCCAGTTGATTAATGCATCCACATTTACGTAACAATCACCAGGGACATAGCTTTCCTCTTTTAAAAGATGTGTTATTTATGCTAATGAGCGTGATTCAAAACCTGAAGTCCATTACCTGTGGCCACAATTAATTTACTGGAGAGGGTGCCAAGTAAAGCTAAGTAGAGAACTCAGGATGTGACCACTGTACTAAATAAAATAACTACTAAACATAAAGGATGTTACATTTCTAAAATATTCCCTAATAGATAAATCTTTCTGGAAAAATACTTCCTGAAAAAGAGAAAGAAAATACTACTTGAGGAAGAAAACCACTGATCCATGTTTTCAGTGAACATGCCACATACAACTCATTTTTTGAATGTTATTGTTTAATATATCTTCTTTCTTATGTGAACTGTTCTTTATTGCTTCAAAGACTTCAATATCTTGATTCCAACTTTTTAAATGCTTTCATTTCTGCTTTTTCTCTCACCTACTGAAACCATGCTAGTCTTTCCCCCTTATCAAGTCTATTGTATTATATTGGGCAGTAATATATCCAGCATATTGCTCAATCCTAGTACCTCATGCTTTGCTAGAATATCCTTGCAGAGTCACTTATATATTTTTACCTCCTTCCATTTTCAGTTACATTAGATTTGTGTGTAGGGCAACATAACTGATACAATATATGCAGTAGATACGTTTTTTTTTTTTACATAGACACATTAGAATTTTTCATACAAAGTACTTAAACAAAACTGGTTTACCTATAAAACCAGAAGATTTATTCTGTTAGATTTCTTCACAGTATTTTTAGAACAATCTGTTCCTATCCGGTAGACTTGGAAGACAGTACCATTACTTAAAAGAAATTGAAAATGCAGTTCGTTAGCATATTCACAGCTATAGAGCAGATATGCAACTCTGTTGTTTCAGAGCATAAGCCAAGCTGAAGCTGACATAATTATTTGCCAGATTTTTCAGGACAAACAAGATCACTAAGAGCATCTTGTCTGACCCTTAAGCTCATAATCTCTACTTGAAAGGAAGGAATCACTTTGCAACACAACCAAGCTTAATATTAAAGATAGATTGAGAAAGAATCCACTGCACCTCATGACAAGATGTTATAATAGTTTACAACCACCCCAAAACGTGCATTCTCTTCCTTTTCTGATTTTGTGAAGTTTCAGTTACTAGAACTTGGTATGTTTGTACTTGGCACAATAAAGTATCTCTGTATCAGAAATCTTTTTATACAGGTATTTGTGGATGTGATATCCTTGGGCAGTGTAACGTACAAGTCTCTAACATTAAAATCTCTCTCACCTTCCTCTGAAGCACCTGGCACTGGTCACGGTCAGACACCATATTGCAGGAGATGAATTACCATCATCACATTATGACTGGCTTCACATTCATTACAGGATGTAATGCTATTTTGCACTCATGCAACTTCACTATAGGTAATCGTATTCCCTCTCTGAAATGCTGGGAAATCCTACTAGCACAAATCAGCTACAGATGCTGGTAGTGAAAAAGACACATTTTCATTCCTCACCAGTAACACAAACCAGGTTAAACTAAAATAAATCTAAGGCCTGTTTAAAACAGAATGTGCAACAACTCATGCTCGTAGATATATTTCCGCAACCACATTCCCATGGAATTCATTAAGTTTTCTTCAAGAGCACTCTCAGTCCTGCCTGATCTCCTGGGAACTACCACTTAACCTAACATTTCATAATTGCTTTTAAAGTGTTAAGTTAACTTTTTTATCCACACGGTCTAAACAGAAAACCAGCTATCCAATTCTGTATAGAATGGCACCCCAAGGGAGGTTTTGAATGTGCCAAAGGAGACTGACTGTCTTGCAAGTACTGTAGCAATGTTTTACTTCTTGCTTCCCATAACACCTAAACCAGAAGGAAAATCTCACAAGTGTCATTTTGGTACTTTTCCATCCAAGCAACAAGGATGTACAGAACAACCTTAAAATGACCTTCTCTGCTCTTTTTCAGATGCTGAAACATACCAGTTCAGTGTGACTTTTGGTAACACAGAACTTTGCAGGGGCTCCTTTGGCCTACAGCTTGCTACAACTACCCAGAGGGCACCAAAAAAAGGAATCCAAAAAAGGGATTGAAAGCATGGACACAGAGGAAAAACTACATTAAGTCTAAATGCCTTGGAAATGAAAAAACAAAACAACCTGTACAATCTCTCAGCTACTAGAAGCTTATGCTCTGTAAAGAAGATTCCTTAGCAAGGTAGAAACATATCTAACCTGGTCGACTGTACGTCGTAAGGTTGCTATCACTGTTGCCGTTGCCAGAGGTGCAGCAGTTGATGGAGCAGTCATTGTGATTGTTCCCCGTGTTAGGCCAAGTATCTGCTAGCCATGGCTGAGTGGCCGGTTCACTGATGTTTAGGAGTCCTGGCCTTTAAAAACAAAGCTTGGTTATTTCAAAAGCCAAATAAAGGCATTTTCACATTACAAATATATTCTCCTCAAAAGGTTAGATATTATGAAATAATATCACATATTTAAAGGTTTGAACACTGAAAACCACAGCTTGATTAAATTATTGTGTGATTTCTAGTCTTCTATATATCCTGTTTCTTGCTAAGACACTCTGAAGTGAACAGTCAAGGACAGAGTCAGTTCAGTTTACTGAACTACACATAAATGATGGTGTGCAACCTTTACCTGGGACTTTGTTTTTTTTTTAATTTTTTTATTTCTATGAAGGTTATATTTTCATTTTTATGACCCTTCTCCCTTTCTTAAAGAAAGTAAGGTAAAAAAGGGGAAATTGGCAAGTCTAACAGACAAAAAATTCACACATGGAAGCAAGATTGATATGTGGAAATATGAGATGAGTTTAGATGTGAATACTCCCAAATTCTTGGTAATTTGTGACATCAAGTTCCTCTCAGCACCAGACAGTACTGCTGTAGTGGATCAAAAGGAACTGCAGATTACAGAAACTTCTGTTGCTTGGGAGTATTTGGATATCACTACACATACTGAAAGTGTGATACATTTTGTTATGTTAATCTCTATGTGGGTGGAACAGCAGCAGCTCCTAAGCAAGTTTAAAATAACTGTGAATACTCAACACCTTTAAGAACACCCGGGTATCAATGCTGCATATTGGCTGCATTTGTAATTAAGTGTATTTCTGCCATCAGCAAAAATAAATGGCATTCCTTGTTCTCCCAGTTGCTGAATCTTTCTAACACGTGTCAAGGTGCTCTGATTAATGTTTTGCAAGTCCAGATAAGTAGCATCCCCATACAATTTAAATTGCCTTTGATAACTAAGATGCTTCTGAAAATAGGTAACCTTAGCCACTGTCACACACACACACATATATATATGTAAGGAACACAGTCTCTTTCATTGCAGTTTTTAACAAGCAACTTTCCATCTGAAATACTGCAGAAACTAGCCTCCATAATATTAGATGTGATGCTCTTCAAAAATAAAATATGCTAATCCTCTTAAACTGCAAGTTGAGAATACAAGCTGCATGCAGTTAGCTGTAGGGGATATAGTCTGTCAGTACCACAGGATTAAGTCACAGTCTTAGAAAGATGTTTAAAAGATCTACACATATATGTTTATATTTATTTCTGTCCTGCATATGTCATCTGACAATTTAACATAGGAGGTGATGAGGCTGGACTTATTGTCAGGCTAACAAGCCAGCCATTACACATGCACTAAACAAATATTTTTTTTGTAAATCTGAAATAAACGTACAGCTATGTAGTCCTGTGAACAGATGAGCTGACTTGAAATATCCTGCTTTTTTCCCTGTCACTCTGCTCTTACAATGAAACTACATCTCATGGCATTTGGAGGAAACAAAGCCTTCCAGAACGTTTCATCACTTTCAAGACCTGTGTACTGAATTTTTTGATAGAGAGTTAGAGGTCCTTTGCTTCTAAAATTTACATTCACACCTGCTGTCATGTAAAAAACATAGTGTGAGGTAAATAAGTAGACAAAAATTCTAACTGGAGCCAACTGTAGGCAAAAGATGTTTGCATTACAGCTCCATAGTCTGGTGAAGAGAACAACTTCCAAAGATCTTTAAGCTTTGCAGCAAATGGCTTGAATCCTTGAATTACTGTACAGGATCCGGGGTGAACTGGCTGAGTGGCTGTGTGGGTGCCTAGCTGCTGGCTGGAATCAATCCACCACAATTACCATTACTTGAATCCTGTCTAGAAAAGGGATTGACACAGAAATGGGTATTTTTTTTTCAGCATCACCGAAGTGGGGATTATACTGAAATATATCACTGTGACATTTTGAATTCTGAATAATGCCTTAACATGCTCACATAACTGCACTTCGAAAAATGCTAAGCATCTCCAAAGTCTTGCAAATACAATGTCAGGAAGTGAAAATCTCAGGTTTGGAAATCAGAGTAAAGGTTTCAGATGTAAAAATAACATTTTTTACATACTTGCGGAAGTATGTTTCATATTCTACAAAATACAGTATGACATCAGACATCCTGCAAATGCTATTTATGCAAATGAACAAAAGAAGTGTCGATGTTAGCACCTTGAATCAATTACACTGCTGCAATTACAACTACACTGATGCTTCAAACCAGGACAGTAAAAAAGGATGCTTCTCTAGCAATACCAAAATGACTGTATGTGATGTAGACAATTCTGGGTTCATTTCTGTCCTCTGAGTCTATGTGTGTGCTCTGTGAGAAAGCACAGTGGCACAAAGAACACAAAGGATGTTAATTGCACCTCTTTTTGAACAACCTTGTCAGGGAAGGAGAGGGTTCATCTCAGTTCTCTTGTATTTTCTCACTAGCATGGGGTTAAGGCAGCAACCCAGTGATTAAAAGATTTGTCCATTCAAAAATCACATGGGAACTCTTCTAGAGGTTTTCCTCCATGGTTTTATGGCTATGACAACACAGCAGCATGCAGTGCTGGTAAAAGACACCTGCAATTGCTCTTAATGTGCCAGTTTCAGTAGCAGCAGCAGAGTAGCCTCACCTCTGTACAGCATTCAAGAAGACTGGGAATGTTTAATATTATGCCTAGATGCCACTTGTGAATCAGGAATTGAAATAGGAATGTATTGCCCAGCTGCTCTCTGACACTTTAGAGTTTATTTCAGTATCATGCCAAATCTTTAACTGAGATGCTTATAGAAAGGCAGGCTTGAATGTGACCTAGAAAAAAAAAAGGTGTGCTACTAAAGTGCTCTGACAATGTCTTTTTGAAAAAAACAACAACAACAAAAAAGTCTTTGCTAAAACATTTTTTTTTTCGGGTTTTTTTTGCCCCTCCTGAAAAAAACACCAGCTCTACACAGGAAATGTGAATTACTGTTTTGTCCACTGCCACTTATTAAGCAATATAAAATCCAGAAAACATGTTTTAGTTAAATCCTCAATCAGGAATGGGCTAGGTTCTCAAAGCAAGGGGCTTTACATTTAGAACTTACCTGTTTCCTTTACCTTCAGTGCCCCATCTCTTCTAAGTGATGGTTTAAGTGTTCTGCATTCATAACAAGATTTTTCCTTAAAAAGTCACCTTATAAGCCGTTTATGTCTTCAGCATTTTTTTTTCCAATAAACGTTTTCTTTCTTTGTAGTATTTGTGAACCAGCTATATTTCTTAATCTTCATAAATGCCATGACTTAATTACTTTTACTGCCTTAATCAGCTGGTAAGCTACGTCTTTATTTTGAAGCTAAAGTGCTCCCTCTCCTGCTCATTTTTTGAGATGCACTTTTCATAGATTAACAAAGCTGAAAATATTATGACTCATTCTTTGGAAATCAACCTAAACATTCAAACCATATAGCTTCCCTCGAAACTGAAAAATGCACAGCTTAAAATGTATACATTAATACAATAAATTTAAACATATCTTTGCAAGAGATTCTTCTGTCATCACTTACAAGGACAACTGTACTCCTAGCATCCTTAAATTTAGTTGCACACCATTTACAGCTTTAAAAATAAAACACATAATTACCTGCCTCCACTGCTTACGGCCTCTCCACCTCTCTGATATGTTACTGAAAGTTAAAGAAGAAAAGGAAATAATTTAAAAATAATAAAAGACTCTTTAAATAGCAGTAATAAATTTGCCTGTTACATTTTAGCTTAATCAATAAACGTGCATTGTTTATCCATTAATAATTCAGTCTCATTCTGCAACCTATTCCTTCAAATTTATACATTTATACATAAGGTTATACATAATACTTGTGATGCTCAATAATTGCTAGTCTTAGCTCCAACAAAGTTCTATATTTCAGTTCTGTTCTGAAACACACAAACACACACATGTATTGCTTAAGAAAGCAGGAAGCCATATATCAGGTTGAACTTATCCCTAACATAACTCTACTGACTTGAGTGGAGTCACTCTGTGGAAAAATTTAGGTCATATATTTATTTCATGAATGGCTAGATGTTAAAGCTTTGCTTTACCTTATTATTTTGGTAAGATTAAAGAGGTATCATGGTTCTGTAACAGACCTTAATCCAATGTAAACAATGGCTCCTTACAGCTGCAATTACTGCAAAAACACATACTCTTTCTGAATATTACTACATTATACTCATGGAATATGCACACTCTAAAAGCCCACAGAAGCTTCACATTTTATAACATTTTACAATCGGACTTATTAACGAGACTTTTTTATCTAAAATTTTAAATGTATAAATCTTGGTAGAAAATTTCTGGCAGAAATATGACTTCCTAAATTAGAAGGAACAGTTTTGCTAGCATTTCAGAAGCATTACACATTAACAAAGTGGATGTCCACATCCACTTATTTGTAAACATGGATTGCACATCTTCACAGGAAGCATCATGGTTGAAAAATTAGTTTTTAGGATTCAAACATCCAAGAAGAAACAGTGTTATAAGTTCTGCAGGTTTGCATTGGGTTTGGCAAAGGATTAAGGAGATTGCCTCCCTGCAAACGCTGATGGAATCTACATTTTCCAACCAAAAATGTGCTGAAAAAAAGCAGCCAAATTCTGCTCTTTAGAAGAACTCCAAACTGGGAGTCTGCAAGAGAGAGATAAATGCTAGCAGTGATTACAATAATAGGATTAAGATGTAGGATGCATTGCTACAGGTAAGTCTTCTAGTAAGGGTAATGGTAAAGAAGAGGGTCTGGTTTCATTTAAAGTCAATTAAACTTATGACTAGGATCCTGGATTGAACAAAGTAGTGTTAGTTTTTTTCCTTTAAATATTTTACATTGTGTTTTTTCCAATTTCTTCTTTAAAAATATCAGTGCTATTTATTTTGCAGCTCATGGAGTCCTGACTGGGAAAACATATATTAGCAAACCTACCAACTTCTGCAGAATTTCAGTAGTGTGCCACAATTGTGATTGCAACAGAAGCCCTCTGTTAAGCAAATTAAAGTAACAGCAAAATAATAATAGCTTGAATTAGTCTCCATGGTGGATCTCAAAGGACTTCAGAAACATTAAGGGCCACTCTGACTCATGCCTAACAGTAATCTACTCCACTGAACACAATAGGATGACTTCTGAAACAAGACACTATTCAATGTGATTAAAAGCATGTGGATAAGAATCTATCCCATTACAATTAGGCCCATGTGGATGAACACAGACAGACACAACATTGCTTCATTTGCAGCCCAACTTGGAAGGATAAAACTCAGCTTCTTCCCAGAGGCCGAATTAGTACAGTGCTGATTTGGAGCTAATACGCCTGGAAGTCTGTAAAGGAGGTGGCAGGTGTTTTTTTACCCTACCTGGATATACATGACCTGCAAGTCTCACAGACCTCTTGTGAAAATAAGGGATTTAGAATGAAAGAGGAAGAAGCAACCTGTCTGTTCACTCAAGTTGCAGCTAAAAGTAATGAACGCAGTACTCTGGTGGGTACTGAATGTGTTGAATTGCATTTAGTAAGAGGTGCTGAGCTGGAAGACTATGGGACTGACTGAAGGTCAGCTCTACACAATGGAAAGGCTCTCAGACTTCAGTGGGCTCAGGTTATGTCTTGTTTTGCAAATTTCTGAGCAAAAAAAAATTGAAGAAGATTTTAAACCTACCCCAAATTTGAAATGCACCTCTGTTTATATAGAACACAATGATTACTTTAAAATTCATAGCACAAAAACTTTTTAATGCAGCAAGCAGAGAAATCTAACTGCTATAACACTTTAATTTCCTGTGTCTTCCAAAGCAGACAACTCCTAGGACACTGGTTTAATGCAGATTCAGAAGAAAGAACAGAAGCAAATGTTTCACCAACTATAATCCCACTGAATCCTTTTCAAGCCAGCCTCTGGGTTCTGCTAAGTCATTCCTCTTCCACCAGAAGCACTTTTTGCATGGCTAGCTGCAGGAGGACACTTTACTCCATTGCAATGCAAAAAGAAGCGAGTCCAGGTTGCACAAACTGATGGGACTGTGCTACAAAATGGTGTGCTTTCATCAAATGGCATGCTACACAAGGGTAAACACATTTGGAAAAGTGTCAGCTACAAAGCAAATATGCACTTTTTAGAGAAGAAAATAGTGACACTTGTAATGAACAAAGTTTTTAAAAAACCTTCAGAACAGTTGGGCTGGTTATGTCAGAAAAAGAGAAACAGTACCACAAACACATGCTAAAGTAACAAAGAAGGGGGGAAAAGTGCAAATATATACCTGTTGGTGTGAAGGTAAAAGACGGGACTGAAAAATCAAAACAAAATACAAACTGGTTATTAAGCTGAAGAGAGAAAGGGAAACATACCACATTAGTATAAATCTAGCAGACAGCTGAACATAAAACAAATGTATATAACTAATTCAGTAGTTCGGTTACATTGATAGAGAAATAAAATTAAATTTGCAATTCAGAAAGAAGCTTGTCTCTGCAGGTACCATTCTGAAAAAAAAGCTTTATATTCTCTTGTGCTCATGAGGAGACAAAGGCTTAGCCTTTCAAATACCCCTCAGTTCGGTATTTTAAGTTCTTCTGAAAATCCTAGTACAAACAAAACCCCCACACTGTTAATCATTTTAGAATGCAGAATCACAAATTCCTTAACAAAGTCTTATCAAGGTCTTATTGAATCTTATCAGCAGTTCACTAAGTAAATGCTCATTCCACTGAACTAACAGGCACACTTAAGTGTTCAGTAAGGAAATAATAAAGAAACAAAGAGAACTGCTGTTTTACTGTTTCTGAATCAAGAATGGCACCAACTCTCACTGTAATAAAGACACTAAAATCTACTGCAGCAATTATTTTTTGTTTTCATAGAGGAGACTATTAAATAATTGTTACCTATCTTTCTTCAATAATCACCAAAAAAAAGGCAAAATGTCTCTCTAGCTGTAACACCTTCTACCTTTCAACCTTTGGCTTTAAGAGGGAAAGGTTAACAATGGAACAATGACACTGCTTGACAATCTTCACTCTCGCAGCTACTATAAATCCTCTTTGGATCAATAGGGTCTCTAATCCAAACACAGAGCACCAGCATCTGCTCTTCCTATTAGCACATGCTCCCCCTCCTGTTGACAAGACAGTACAGTTTTTCTAACACTGATGGGCAGAAAAAGGCTAGCATTGCCCTTTTCTATATAATTACAAGAAAGAGAAATGTAAGAGAAATAATAAAATATTCACTAAAAGTAGCCTTGAAGACAGAATTTGACCAGCAAACCTGTCACAGAAATAAAAGGTTCTGGCTAAAGAAAAAAATCCTTAATTTATTTTTTACAATAACTCTGGTGTTCAGGGGAGTCCAGAGTGTCTTTGTTGTAATTTAGGATATAGTTTTTTCCCTCTTTTACCAAGCCAATTTATATCCAGGGATATGACACTATGCAAAAAAAGAAAAACCTCAGCATATTTGCCCATTTTAGGCTGCATCTGCAGCACAGCTCTTTATCTTGGGAATTCCATTGTATTTTCCTTGAGATAGGTCTTTTCACAGAGTCAAGTTTAATTTAGCTGCATTCAAAAATATAGAACCATGGAAACAAGCTTTCATTAAAATAGAACGTGCATTTAAACCAGAGGTATACAAAAGAGAATCAAGTGTCTCAAAATTAATTTGCAATCACAAGGACATGGAAAAAAAATATCTTAAACTACTGTCTCATTGCTCTCCTGTGAGCTAAGTACTAAACAGAGTTTAGTTACTTAAGGAACTGAGGAACAGATGAACAGAGGTTCAACTAAAGTAAATCTTCATTGCTGCCACACAAAAGAACAACTTAATTCTCAGTGCTTCTATTAGTAAACTCTTTTGAGTGTGTAAGAGTGCTAGTACAATATGTATGTGTGGGAGTAGTGAGGTATTTTAACAGATTTCAGGACTGCAGCTAAATACAAAAATATATAAATAAATGCAAGTCTGAAAAAAGTTTGGACTTGCTGTGATGACCTGATGTACTGCAGAGTGGCAAAGTACTGTATTTCACTAAAGATGGCTTTTTTTTTCATTGAAGTATACAATAGAGACGCAGACCCTACTTTTCTGTGTATTTTCATTAAAATCCCCACAAAATTACACAAAAGAAAATATTGAAAACACAGCTGTTGTGAACAATAGCTGATGTCACTAAAATAACCAAGGACAAATTTTATGTCTTTTGCTTAATCATAGGTACTGCTGAAAGCACAGTGGCGTTAGTTTGACAGAAATGTAGAAAGGCAGTATGGCAGCATGCTATTAGTAAAACAAAACAGGGCAGGCCAATGCAGCAGTATGTCAGGGTCTGTTTTATCTAAGAAATCCTAGGAGAACAAAATCAAAGGTGAAATTAATCCCTAATTTCTGCTATAACCACTGTGCCTGAAGTCTACCGGAAGCATTGACACTTTAATAGCATGGAGGACATAAACGTTCTAGAACTACTTCCATGTTTCTACTCACTCAGTTGCTATTTTTAGCACCACTTCCTATCCTACAACCACACTGCTACTGTTTAAAAACATCTGTGATATATTTGCCCGTCTGTTTTGCCCATCACACATTCGTTCTTGAAGTGACTAAAGAACTTAAATCTCATGACATCCTTCATACATTACGATGTGCACACCTTTGAAGCTCAGGTCTATCTTTTGATTGGTAAATATAAAACAATCTCCCTATATTACTTGAAAAGCAAGATCTTCCAGCTTCTGATTCATATCAGAATTTAATGATTCTCACTCTTTGAGTACCTATGAGGTACTGCTTTTTGATGTAATGAAATGTAGCTTATTGAATTCAGATTTAACATCACAGCTTAATCAACAGATTATTAAATCAAGAGAAATCAAGTTTTTACTCCAGAAGACCTTTCAGGTAGGGATTCTAATTTTGTTTGTCACACAGTATATTATAAAGCCCTGCTCGCCACTGACAAGCTGACATAAAAGGTCTCAACAACATTAAAATTAAGAGTGCTTTAAGTCAGTTCCACTGCTACTATTCTAACCAAATGCAGATACGAGATGTGATAGGCCCAGAATTCTACCCCAAAGAAGGGTCTCACAATAGCATTTATGAAAGAGTCTCAGAAAGTATTACTGACCGTTGCACTTTTGCAAACAGCCACTTCACCACATCCCTCTGGAACACAAGGAAACTCCAGTACACACACCAAAAGCGCTACTGTAATGTACACCACTGTTAGTATTCTTAGCAGCAAGCGAAAGACCAAACAGGAGGGACAATGAACTACCATCCACTTGGCTCCTTTCCAGAGGGTACAGTCTCAGGTAGCAAGGGCATACTGGAAGCTCCTAGCCTTAAAACTATCACTATGTTTCTCATTTGTACGAGTTTCTTTACGAAAAGCTAGTCTAGGTATTTTGCTAAAGGCTTATGCTTTAAAGCCTGGTTTAACACAGTATGTAAATATCACTGCTTTCTGCATTGGCTCCTGATCCACACTTCCTGAAAGTACTGAAGTAATTTGATAATTGCTGCATTGAGCCTTAGAAGAACAAGAGACTGATGATAAATAGCCAGTAAACAGTCATTCAGTACTCAGTGGAATGAAATATATAATACAGCACCTTTTCTGATACCAGCGTAAGTACTAGTGAGTCCATTTCGCTTCTTCCTGTGGCGGTATAACCAGATGCTGAAGACCATCAGGATAATCCAACAGGCTGCACCAATTCCAGCAATAAAGGCAGGCTGTTTTACTACATCAGAAATCTGCTGGGCTAAACTGACTTGATCTTCTGAAGACACAGGGTTTCCATGAGAATCTGATAAAAAAGACACCCAAAATAGCCAATTAATTTGAATGAACAACTGTAAAAGGCAGCACAAAAAGAACCGAGAGTTTTTCAAGGTAAAATCCTTAAGACTGCTCTTCTGAATCTCTTTATACAGCTCTAGATAGAAATAGTTTGTTTTCCATGTAAGACAGGTACTTCCAACTTCACTGACCTTTGTTTACAAAAATCACTTTATCAGGCCCCTAGGCATATAAATAGCAAGTCAGGCTCATAAATTTCAAAGCTGCTATTTTTTAAAACAGGTAGGAATGATGTACCACTGAATTGAGAGCTTTTAGCAAAGCAACACCAGCTTCAGAAAATTATTCAGAGTCAGTAAAGAACACAGCAAGTAAAAGAAAGCTCAAGTAAGAAACCTCTAGTCTGTTCTTTGAGCTCTGCAAATGGCTGGAAATCAGCTACCCAAACATCCACTCTCATAACTGAAAATCACAAAATTACCAATTCAAAGTACATTCACATGAGATTGATATTGAGAGATACACTTCCATTTAGCAGTTCCTGACAGATGACTTAAATCTTGTATTACACAATCTAGCATACTCATTGCAGTGTCTCACTTTGACCTCAACTGAAAAAGAATGATTATTCAGAAGTATGTAAAGAAGTACAAACAACCAATCCCGCCCTCTTGATGTGGGTGAAAAAGCCAAAGGATAACTAAAAAAGGAGTTATGAATTGTAAAAAGTTAAGCAGTCTCATTATTACTGAACAAGCAGCCCTTTTCAAAAACGGTTTATCCTTAAATATCCCAGATAAAATAAAACAAATATGTCTTTTTCCACACCCTTTAAAAATTTTTTTTAAATAGAGACAGCACCTGCATAAATCAATCTTTTCTGTTCTTTCTGTATTGAACTTTCTCAAGAATCTCCTAGAAACAGGAGTAAGAAAATTCAGACAGTGATCAGTGCTTTCTAACTGAAATGAAGCAACTCAAAGTCAAATACTGCCTTCCTGGTTTATTATCATTACAGTGAGAGTGTACTGGAAATATCATTACTGCACAGGATGAGGGCAAGAATTTGAAACGTTTACTCAGGGTGGATATTGCTTTACACATTCCACAGTTTAGTCTTTGAAATACCCGTTTTTACTCTTCTTTAAATTCAAGTTAGTTGCTTTTTACTCTGAGTAATGACATCAAATTCAGAATGAGAGATTAGTGTTTTAAGAAGAAAGACACTGTTATTAATTATATGAATATAAACTACGTAATAAATGAAAATGTATTTACTTAAAAACCAATAACTTTTCATTACAGGCTAAGCCGTGAAGATATAATTCTTTTTAAATTATGACATGTCTTGCATTATTCCAAAATAAGCCTAAATAAGCTGTAAGAAATTGCAATGGAATCACAACAAATCATACAATTAACAAAATTCCCCTGGAAAAGGATACCTTTTTGAATGGGAAATGGTTAAATTGATAGCACCTTCTTCCAGTGAAGAATTCCAGATTTCATTTTTTTCAACATCAAGGTCAAATACCTATTTTGCTGAGGAATCACCACGGGCTTTGACTGCTACCTTATTGGAAATTTTATTCCATCTTTCAAGTCCCTTTATCTTCTGTGATCTTAAGTGCACTGCCTAGTCTGAAAGTTCACCAGGCAGTCTCATTCTTTTCTTACTAATACACCCTTTGTGTCTGGTGGGTTTATAGATTTCATGCCTATTTGTGCAAGGTTAAGATGGGTTGCTTCAGATTTTATGGAGACAGCCAAGTGAAGTTCCACAGAAGTGGCCAGATGGGCTTAAACGTATAAAGTATACTGTGACCAATGAATTAAATCTGTCACTCTCTATCTCATCTTCTGTCTCCTTGCAGCTGAGGCCATATTAAGATATGAAAACTTGCATCATCAGTCTCTTTTCAAAACAAGTAAGACTACTATTTCTATATTTTTAAATGGCTACATTACCTTGCACATCTTAATGGAAGAGAACAAGAGATTTTTAGAGGCCCTACGGTCCCAATACATGTTTTATCTCTATCCTTTAAATATATACATATATATATATAAATCCGGGCGGAGGAAGCACACACACTCAAAAGCCAATGAAGAATGTTTTTTGAACTGGAATTCAGCCTTACAGAAGGACTGCACTTTTATATATAGAAACATTTTGCATTGCTCAGTTAATGCATGTCTGTAGATTACAAAATAGTGAGGAACCTCTTTGAATATTTATTGTTCTGATTTTTAATTAAGATTCATTTCATGGTATTATTTTGCTACCCAGTGCAAGAATAAGAATAGCATATGAATATATTTGCTTTTAAGAAACTAGGTTTATGGCACGTTGCACACTGGCAGACTGTTAGAGCCACTATATTAAATTAGCTGGTATATATTTACATGCACGGTGAAGAAAAAAATGTGTATATGTTCCTACACAGTCACTTAAACAAAATCATAGAAAAGATGGAAGGTCTTTCCAGACACCACATTTGACCCATGACCTGCTCCTCTTATAATTAAAAAATAGAGAGTAAACTAAATATAAAGAGAACAAAATCTAGTGAACCCCTAATTACAAAAAATTTCCAGGAACAATATCTTAGAAGCCTTTTTTTAAGAAGGGCATCTTCCCTCTCTATATATAATATTCTTGTCAGATCCTGAATGATCAGTTAGGAAAACTGCTCCTGAACTAAAAAAGTACTTTTTCTTCATCCCAGGAAATTTCTGGAAGCTTTGGCTGAGATATAAACGGTTCATAATCAACATTCCTGTTCCTGCTTGCACTCCACGGGAAGATGTGCCAAAATAATAAGTGAACATAAACATTCTGCAGCAAAGAGCATCTTGCTGCCAAAGAAGCAGCCGCAGCATTTAATGTACTTGAAAATGCCTCAGAGTTGTTGGAGCAGGCTGATCTTACAACTCCCTGAAACCAGCATATTATCACAGTGACTCATCCCTTCTTCTACCCCAAGATAAGAGCCTTCTTTTTAATCACAGATAATGTTGCTATGGCTGTCGCTCACAGACTACGTGATCTGACTGTCTTGAAGCTCCAAGTTTCAAACTTCAAGAAAAATTCATTAAAATTTACATTAAGAAGAACTAGGATCTCTAAATCTTAAATGTGATATATTATTAATAATAATAATAATGTAAAACTAATGTCTAAGGAGTGAAATGTTAAAATATTAACATACAATTAAGATTGGAATGCCAAAGATTAAAAAAAGACATAAAATTCCAGATTCACAGGTGTTCAAGAAACCTTAACTTTGCCCTGTATGTGTACAACCTATGGGATGGTACTTTTCCATAGGCCTGTCTCATTTAGCATGCAAAACTCCAAACAGCAAGTAAGAACTTTTGTTGATAGCTAATTCTGGCAATTCAAAACTTGTAAAACACCTAGAATCTGAAACATATTGTCTGAGCACTTCCTCAAATATATGTGCATAATGCAATATGAAAATGATTTAGTTTTGTCTCCCTGCTAATTACATACATTTCCAAAACTGAAAAAAACATCAGTTTTGCATGTCAACCTTATAACATACAGTTTGAGGAGACAGCACTGAACTGGCTCGGAAGTTCTTGCTGTGAGGGCAAAAAAAGGTAATATTTTTTTCCAGTCGTTTGTAGGCCACAAGACAAAAATATCAACCAAAAACCCCTGTACAATTTTCACAGTAAAAGTACTTGAAGGGCTGACAGAATAAAATCTCTGAAGGCATGCTAGCTAGTTCACAAATCACATCTCCTAAATTAAGCCATTAGAACAAGAAAGATTCAATGAGACTTTCCAGTGTTTTGTACACTTGAGACATCCACTGGTTGAATAATGCACTCAATGTTTATAATAATTGTGTAGACATCTCTTAACAAATAACTGCCCATCATAGATCCATACAAATAATGTGTTAACTGCAGTTGTGGGGCTTCTCAGAGCTGATACCCTGAACAATATATGTTGCATTATGTTCCAATTTCACTACAAGCATACAACATACATAATCAACAAGCATACATAATACTGCTCAGCTAGTATCACATCATTGTACAAAAGTTAGGCCAGAGATCAGCAAAAAAAAAAAAAAAAGGTTGTGATAGATCTCACCTTTATGAATGAAGCAGTTTTGTAACCAATACCCTAAAGTTACATGTTGTGACAAGAAAAAACGTTTTATCAAAATTCTGTGATTTTTTTCTCCACAGCAAAGTATTATAAACATAATACAGTGAGCTCTGCTCAGCTCTCATGAAATATAATTTTTTTTTCTACTTCCCACTAGAGCTTTTGCAGTCTTTCTTTATGTAAAATACCAACCTTTCTTTCAGAACAAACAAGTGGTTTTCCAGCCCCTGGAATTCCACAGAAAGATTGAAAAAGTAATTAAAAAATCAAGAGCAAAATTCAGAAGCCCCAAGGAAAGTGTTTTAAGACAGATGTTTTTTTGGTTGATCTCATGATTTTCAACACTGAAAGATTATTTTGGAATAGTAAGTAAGTATATGGTTGGCTTGTCCCTGGTGGCATGGAATGTCTGGGGTACTGCAGCTCAGTGAGCTGCTTCATGTCAGATGTGACATGGACAATGAAAGAGCTTTGAGCTTACAATTTGTATCTGTCTTTGTAACAGGTTAAGTATGTGCAGAAGGTCAGTTATCACAGCTCAGCTGATGCATGGGACTCCGACTGCACGCCTCAGCTCGCAGAGCTCAGTTTCTCCTGCCCTCCCCTCTTGTTCTGGAAGGTGGCCTCTGAAAGGTGAAGCTTCCTCTTGTCACCCACCTGCCCAGGCATTTCTCAGAGTCACAAACCTGGGAGCACCCTGCACAGCACGCAGTCTCAAATATGAGCAGCAGGCTACATTGAGAAAAAAACCCTCTTCTTTGGATGCTCCAGAGCCAGCCACAACCTCATCTTACATTTTTGTAAGAAAAACACAGGAGGACAGACATTTTAAGGAGAAGTATTATTTCAATGAAAAAGATAGCAAAAAAAAAAAAAAAAAAAAAAAAAAAAAAAAAGAAATAAGTAAATTAATATCTAAATCATGTAGTAAATCCTGTTTTCACACACAGAATTCTTAATCAGCTTAAAAAAAGAAAAAAAAGAAAGGATTGTGTTAATTCAGATCAGGAAAATATTTCCTGAAGGACTAGTTGGGTAGAAACTTGAAGTTAGCAGTGGCAAACATGCAGCTCCTAGAACATGTACCTACAGGGAGTAAGGACTCTTTCACACCATCTAAAAGGCATCCTCAGTCCTCTTCACTCCCTCTCCCTGGCCTCCCTTCCCTCTCTCTGTAACTATGTAATTTATTGCTGGTGAAAAGTGCCAATTGATGACATCAACAAATTAATTTTCTTTCTTCAGAAGAGCTACCAGAAAACTCCAGTGTCTGCTCCACCCCCACGCTGGGAGCATATCCAAGGACTAAGAATGTGATTCTGTATGGGGGCTGTAGGTTAACTTACATCACAGGGAAGAGTTAAACTGGAGCCATTCATCTGCCTTGATGATTTTAAGTTAATCTCTGCTACTCAAAGGTACTTGTCTTCAATTTTAGTACTACTTTTCAGCAGCCTCCTGCGGTTGCCAAAAAGACCGCAGCACTGTCTAGGTACTTCCTTGTGCTGTTTCAAGTGGCATGGATCTCCACGAGGCTTCTGTCTTCAGGTCTTTGCCATGTAACAACCAAATTATGGGAGTTTTACTACAGTATATGAAGATTTGGACATGCCACTTAATTAGAAGCAAGCAGTACAAACTATGAAAGCAAACCCCAACCTCAAGGTAATACCTGGATTCTACCAACTTACATATTGGAACACTCTCTGGTGTGTGTGATTGCTCCATGCTTTCTAACAGTGTCAGTAAAAGCCAGGAAGCCATAAGCAGACAAAAATCTTACCCTGGCAGAGCATAATTTATTTCTTTTTCCACTTACGAAAACCCCAAAGTGATTCAGTTCCATTATAAATTTCACCTTCATTTTGCATTTGCTTATCAACAGAAAAAAAAAAAAAAAAAAGAAGTAGTTATGAAGTCTTTGGTTTTGACTATTGAGTTTACTCCGTTATTTTACACTCATAAGCCTCGCTAATTAAATATTTAAAAAATCTAGCAATCTTGACCTTGACTCGAAAGCTGGCTGTAGGAAAGAACAATCCAAAAAATAACTATGGGGTTTGCACATATTAATGGACTATAATATAAACTGTGTATTTTTGTTGTAAAATCTCTATTAATGTAATTGGGAATCATATTATTGTGTAAGTTAAATAAGCTAAAGATGACCTTCATTTTAATAGCCAAGAAAAGGTACATGTAATTTGCCAGGGAATATATTAGTTGTTTGATCTTGTTTTCACATGCGGTAATGATAGATCTTGAAAAAACAAGGAAGATCTACTAATGATAGAGACAGACAGGACAAAGTCAAAACCAACATGCTGAGTTTTCTTTCATAATTATATACTGTAATGATAAGGTATTTTCACATAAGCACACTGGTAAAACAGCTTGTGACTATATACACCTTAAGGTACTTTACATAAATAAGAAGATACATTTCTCCCACATACATCCAGGAGCAATGCCCTTGATCTGCACTTATGGCAGACAAATGCTTGGTGTAAACAAAGTTAGGAGGTCAAGATTATTGTAAATCATATGTGTGAGCTCTTTTTCCTGTACTCAGGTTATTTACTAGCTTTCTTAAAGAGTTAATGTTTATTATGCCTAATTTTAGCTTGCTCTTGGGTTTTGCTTCGATAAAGAAAGATAAAATCTGATCAAGACAAATTACAACAATAAACTAAAGTGAACCAACACTTGGTGATTCATACTCCCCTACATGTTTCAATGTACCAGTCTTAACACTCTGAAAAATCAATAACCAAAAAACACTGCTGAATTGGGAGATCACAAAACAAAACAACAAAACAAAACCAAAAAAAGAGTTGTTATAATCCCATTTTTAGAATGCAGTTCTAAGGCAAGTTTAAAACCAGAAATGTCAAATCCTGCTATCCCAGAGATCAAGTAACACTATCTATTTTACTTGTCTTGAAAGTATTTCTTCTGCCATAAAAGACAAGAGCAAGCAAACAAAAATCACTGAAACCAATAGATAGGATTACCAGCAGGCTTACCTAATTGGATAAACTGAGGATCGCTTTTCACTCCAGGTCCAGCCCCAGTACTTGCTGCCACTTCCACGCTGTATCGAATACCAGGAACTAGGGAGGGGATGACTACAGAAAAGGTGGAACCATCTACTGTCTTGTTTATATGGTATCTACTTTCATTGCCAAGACACCAAACCTGCAAAGAAGTAAGTGTGTGTTATGCATAAACGTTAAAAATTTAACACCAAAGGATAAACAGACAGAAGGATGACACATTCCCTTCTGCTGAAGAAATTTAGACTTGGTCACTACTCTAACATCTACAGTCATGGATTGCTGTCCTAGGCACTGTATGAATACTGAAAAGATAATTCTTGTTCCAAAGAACAGCTCCAACTACTAAAATTATTAATGGGTTTACTGTGATTAATCTACAGTTCAACCAGTGACATCAGTGCTAATAAAACTAAAAGCATTAGTAATGTGCAACAAATAAGGGAAGCCCCATAGCCAAGAATCATTCACATAAACAAGAAAGTAAGAGCATTCAGTTAAATGAATTTGCAATTCTCTTGTTCAGGCACCATTCATCAAGCAAGGCTTTCTTCACTCAGGTGCAAGGGCAAATCTTTAATCACATGATGCCACAAAAGAACTGGTATCATTTTTTTAAGAATGGCAGCAAGATACAAGGACTGAGAAGTATGCCATCTTCTGTTTAGAGACAACAGCCATGATACCAGATCTCATTTTTTGTTTGACATCAGGACACAGGCCTACCAACTGCAATTCACCACTTTATAAATTACATCAGTGATGTTAAGTGATTGGTAGAAACAATGTCATATTTTAATCTTTTTAGGCCTGCACTGTTGACATGGCAAATGCTTTTAAGGTTATGATTGAACTTCCAACTGCTATTAAAGATGAAGTAGCAGCTAATCTAGATCTCCTAAAAAATTTATGAAGCTGTATTGATTTCCTTTTTATTCCCTTTCCACAAATGTAGCGCTCTACAAGGAATATTTACCCAGAAAGTTAAATTAGTAAAATTCATTAATCTATCTGTTGAGAAGGAAACTTTCCTGAGAACAGCAGCATTTCTGAACCTGTGCTGACTACACACAGGAGGTAAGGTCTTGCTTTTGACATAAGGAGCTCCTGGAAGATTTACTACTCAGGCAGCTGCTCTTAATCTCTTGTGCAATTCTACTGCTGTGGAGACGTCCAGGTAAATGAGCTAGAGATTCACATATACAACAATTGCTAGGGCTCCTTCTGTAAGGTCTTTTCTGCCTGGACACTGGAAACTTTATTTCACCTTCAGGACATTGTATGGCTCTTTTCCTTCCGTAGATGCCAAAGCACGAAACAAGACTAGTGGGACACTGCGAGGAGCTGAAATGTATTTTAACCTCCTCTGAAACAGAATCCCAACACAGTATATACATAAATGCTGAGGCAGAACATGTCAGGCACACGAGAGAATCTCCTTTTAAAATTCTGATACTAAGCAAAGACTGTTTCAAGTTAGTAGTAGTATAACTATAATTAATATTAGTAATATTGCTCTTAAATACCAAAAGATGTTCCATGAAAACATTAATATGTAAATAAGAATAAAGTGAGGAACAAAACATTTAAGATGACATTTTGACATGTCATTTTCACTGTAATTGTTACTGCCATCTTATATATGGTGTATGTGCAAACAATAAAAACAATTTATTATGTACTTGTAACTGTGAATTACAAATTCATAAAAATGTTTTGGAGAAATTCACAAAACAAGAATGTTACATTAAACAAACAGGAGGTTGTTCAGCACTTGCCATACTTTATTTGATTGTATACCTGAACAGGGAAGTGAAAAGGAGCTTTTAGAATGCTACGAAGGAAGGAGGCATTCACATTATTATAGACACATAAGTGAAGAGAGAATTAGTATAAGAAGAGAATTTCTAGCTTCATGCTAGAGAAGGAGGTAATGACGTGATGTGATTTGAATTTCTGGCTTTTTCTGTGTGCTACTGACACTTCTTAAATTAAGATGGTATCCTCCGTACTATTTACTTTATTCTTTAATTACATAAGCTACACTCTTGCCTTAGACCTTAGTTGAGAAGACAAAGAATTCCCCCACATATGAGTACCATTTTTTCTGGGAGAAAACATAGGAGATAGAAAAACAAAGATCAAAGAAAAATGAGAAAATTTTACAAGACTTTGGTTTTGTCTTGATATTAGTTCTTGATCTTATATAATCACTTCTGCATTTTTTTAGGTTTTAGACAAAAATATTAATTACATATAGCAATTTAAATAGCAATTACACATATACTCATTGTGTCTGTTTTGTGTCAATGGTGAAAAGCACAAACAGCAATAACGGCACCTACACCAAAAATTTATCTGTGAAGCATGTCAGTGTGCCATCTACTGCTACACAAGCACTACAAGACATTTGCTCCTGCACCTGACAGCCTATTACATCCGAATGCTAGCAGGCATGTCAGGTACTATATCCACCGGGAAATGTGAATTTCCTGACTTTTATTGTTTTGTCCTTACAAACCTAACACTCCTCTAATGCAGTTTCTTGATGAAAATAATTCCATCTCTTCAGCTCAAGCTCTGTCTTTAAAAAAATAACTTTGCAAATATATTTTTTTCCAATTACATTATATATCTGAAAGTAAGCCATAAACTGATTTTTCTACCAGCTGACCAGGTTCTGAAAGGCATTTTATTATTCTAAATTGACCATGAAGCTTAGTGATCTCTTCTCATTCCCTTTTCTGTTGAGGAAATACAAAAAGCACAATGGGTTTTGATGGCTAGAAATACATGTCTATAGCACAGTGTTTTAACCTGGAAAAGAAAGCCAAGACATTATAATTTAAAAAATTTTCTATGTGATATGTATTTGCAGTGAAACAAAAGATCCTTCCTCTTGGTGGCTATAACGCTTACATCATATCCAGAACTAGACATTTTAAATGTCTGTAGTTTGCTTTGGAAAAAAAAAAAAAAAAAAGCTGAATTTGCTATGTAAATTATTGCAAAGCAGTTTGAACCAAAAATAAATAGTGTGTTGCTAAATGAACATCTAATAACAAGCACTTGATAACGTACTTACATTTTGTGAAATAGCTTAATGAGAGCTGTGTTTGTGTGAAAGAAAAGAAAATTTTCTATAAAAATATGTTTATTATTATAAAATCACCTTCTTTACCTAAGAGCTTTCCATTTGTTTTAACTACCCAGTTACGCATAATTTACTCCGATCTTAACACTGTTAATTATTATCCCTGAGCTTTTCAACTCATTAAGCCTGTTTATATTTATTACCTCCTCCAATGTTTGAGTCAGAAAATGGTCCTTAAACAGGTATGGTTTCCTTTCTACTTGTGTGTGCATTTCTCAATTTTTAATGAAGGTAAAAAGGTAGTTGTTTTAATTAAGAGTGTTGACCCTTTGCTTTGATTTATGGAGGCTGTTTTAATTGCTTGCTACCATCTAGAGAGAATTACTAAATATGGAGCGTGATTCAACGTGGTTTTCCACCTCATTTTCTGTGACTAACCACTAGATGGAGCCAGGCATCCACGAACCACCTGACTGTCACTACCTGGCCAATAATCGTTCTGCCACGGGATCAAGGCATGCCAGTAGTACCTTGTATTCTTGAACCATTCCGTTCTGGTTGTCCTCAGGGGGTGGCTGCCAGGTGACCACAATTGCCGTCCCGTTCCCATCGTTCTTAGTTACTGAAACACTCTGAGGTGGAGCACTAGGAGCTGTTTGTTTGGAAAAAAAAGATTGAACCATTAAGTTCATCAGATGCAGAAGTGAGGTTTTTTAAGAGGAAGCTGATTTCTGGGCTACACAAATGTATTATTGTATGCCCCACTGTTCAGTGAGGGCAGTTCTTGCCTTTAAGTTAAATTTACATAGAAGGAAAGTTATGTGGTCCTGCAACCAGGCTCCTGAGTCCTGCTGCAGTCTTGCTGTGCAGGACAAGAAAAGCCACACTCATCATCCGGCTGCCCAAACTCAAGATATCCATTACCTGAATATTTGTCACAGTCCTGAGCACTGAATTTGACACTGGTCGCTAATCATCTAACCCAGGATCAACAGTTTTGAAAAATAAAGTCTATAAATTGATCCCAGTAGAATGCTAAATCTCAATTCCTCCAGGCCATAAATAATAATGCACAATACAAAACTTATTAAAATCAGGACAGAATGTGTTAATATGAACGCACAATACAATCTGACTTTTTAATTTGAAATAGTCTTTCTAAAAATTGGATGCTTAGCTGATGCTTAAGATAAGCAGTTAAGCACACCATTTGCACAAATAAACCAGAACTACCTGGCATTTATAATGGTGAGGGAAGAGAGAAGGGACAGGGTTGCACATCCCAACAGAGGCACTGAAAACCCTATTCAGAGGCACTAGCCATTTTGCATACTCTTTATGCCTGAGCAGCAACAAGAAGAAGGACTTCATGAGCCCTCTCTTTTTAGCACATGTATGAGATGGAAACATATGATTTAGTCCACTGTATCTGTTGCCCTCATTCATCTTTTCATTTTGTCTTACTGATTGATCCAGATATAAAAGCTTTCTAAAAATGTGGTTTCCATTCCCCCAGCTATAGCGCTTTGATGATTTCTGCAGTGTCTGCTATCTACTCAAGATAGTGATTAGCAAGTGCTTGAATCTGACAGAAGTCACTTGTGACCAGACCATGAACTCAGCAGGGAGGAGTGCACACTGAAGGGAAGATAAAAAGCACGCTTTCCATTGTGTGTTGGAGGGGATTTCTGCACATCCCTCTCTCTGTCTCTCGCGTGTCGTTCTGAATATTTACTTCTGTGTCCCCAAACAATTCACATAATGATCAGCCCAAGACAGGCTCCTCTGCTAAGATTGCTGTTCTCAAACAGCATGCACTTCAAACAAAATCAAATAATGAACATATCAGAGGAAAGCAGGCCAGACTACTACTTCAAAAAGGAAAGATGAAGGGAGTCTGGCTCCTACTTGCCTTCTTCCAGGGTCTTTGCAAATTTCACTTCACTATCTGCTCCCTGAAACTCATTAAAAAAAGGGCGGGCCTTGATTTCATAGTTTACACCTTTCTTCAGCTCAGGAATGATAACGCTGTTTTTGGTTGGAGTCCTCACTTCAAAGATTAACCACTCTGACTCTCCATAGGATGCTGGTGTTGGCCGGTACAGAATTTTATATCCTTGAATATACTGGGATTGCTGGTCCACCTGGCAAAACAGCAGAAGACACAACACATCTTTTAACAAATATACACCAGGAACGAGGTCTGTGATACTATGCACAGTTCTGGGACTATCCATTCATTTTGTTCAAAGTAAACAACACTGCTGAAATAGATAAAGGCTCCTTGCATTACAGCAAATTACAGGCCTGATTCACAAATGCCTTAATCTGTTGGATCCTGGTAGAACTGCACTGGTTTCTGCGGATTTATGAAGGCATTAAAGGGGGATAATGAAGTTGTATAATACGACCCAGGTCTGTGAAATGAACAGCCACAACATCCACACAGCAATGAAGTTCAGGACAGGCTAGACTTCTGTCCACCTGAATCTGCCCAGCAGTGCACAGGGCAAAGAAGGAAGGGTGAGGGCACAGGATCTCCAGCTCCACAACTCAGGGTGATTAATATGGAGACAAAAGAAAGAGCCTGCCGAGGTGTGGAAGCGTCTCAAGATCCATGAAATGAGCAGTGCTTTCTGCCTGCTTCCTTTGGGTGAAAGAGAGTTGAAAGGGCAACCAGCTGGCAGTTTCTCCATGGCTGTGATTAGGCTGGGCTCTGACAGAGGGCAGGCATGTCCAAGCACTCCCTCCATGTCCAACCAACCATGTCATGGGAGGCTCCTTTGCTGGAGGCAGATGGCTGTTTTGAGAGGGTTCCGAAGAGGGTCATAAAACTAAATATGGTAACACAGATGAAGCTTGGAAAAGTAGATCAAAATTATACTCAGTGATCCTGAGTGCTTTTTAGACAGAGGTAATTTTATATCACATGTATGGAGAAAGAGATCTTCATGTAAACAAAGGAGGGAATCAATGTGTTTGGCTATAGCTGAAACAGAAAACTATCCTATACAGGTGATCTGTTGTGGAGCATTCACTGTCTTTTAACTACTGGTTTCAATTTCTGATGAATAAGAAATTCCAATAACAACAAAAATTTCCGAAGTGCATCACATTTTCCATATTTTCAAAAATCTCATACAATGATACAATAAAACTGTTTGCTTGCTATTTTACTCTAAAAAGCATCACATCTCATTTTAAATAATGACATAAAGAATGCATGTGTTAGCTGAAACTGAGGTAATGCTTATTTTTGAAATTGCAGAGAAGCCACAGGCCACCCAAGAGACTGACAAAAACTGCCTGTCTGGAAAAGGTTGTACTGTAAGTAAAGGTTAAACAAACTCATGCTAGGAACCTCAAGGATGTTTTGTCATTATTAGTTAAAACGTTAGATTGCCTGCTGCAGGTGGCCATACTGCAGGTGACAGTGTAATTACCATGCAACACAGCAGATATTATTTATCTTCTTGCTGCATGGAGGAACCCTGATCATGGACTAGGTCTATTGGGCTAGGGTTTGTCTATAAAGCAAAAGCACCTTTTGTTTGTGTGAAAATGTTTTGCCATGGCATGGCAGGGGCTACACCCTGTGCTCTCCTACACTGTCCCTGCCAATATACTGATATGTTCAGATAGGAGTCCTGAAAAGACCTCAAAGATCACTCCCTTTGGATGTATTCCTGAAACTGGTATAATTACCCCCCAGTTTTAGTTAATTCTGTGTTCTACTTTAAAAATTATTTTCTTTGAATTATATTTTCTTATCTCATTGCTTGGCACTTGCAGTTTCCTGTGTTGTTCATTCTGTTCAATTCTACCTTGACGGCCAAATGTTTCCCACAGTAAAACATTTCTAACCCTTTCTCTCACTGAGGCCTCAGCCTTGCAAGCCTACTTGAATCTTTTTCACATAGGTTCCTATTCCCCTTGCTTCGGGACTTCTATACTATCATTTCCTCTCTCCCATTTCCTTTGTTACATCCTCCATGCAGCCAACTTCCTGCTTCCTCCTGTCAGAGCAATGTCAATACAACATCCGAAAACCCTTTCCCCTTTTAGTCTCTTCTCCCTGTACTGTGGGTATTCATAGCACCGTGGGAAAGAATTGGTTCAGATGAGGCTATATAGGTTTGAATGTGTTTCTCAGTATGTTTATAGGATGGAGGTTAGATTTTCAAGCAAAATTCTGCAGTATTTTCTCCGCTGGTGACTGAATGACAGGGAAGTGCCCATGTTCCCTCATTAGGTGACCAATACACCTCCTACTGAAAGCAGTGCAAAAGCTTCAAATTATACAAGTTAGGAAAGCTTTGATCAGACCTTTAGCTTCCAGAGGAGGACTCTGCAACTCTAAACATACTGTAAGCAGCACTCACTAAAGACATAGAGTGGTGAAAATGGGAGAACATTTAATGAAGTAGGAAAAGCAAAGTCCATGTAGCACTTATTCCAGAGAAAAACATTTGCAAGCGTACAACTACACAGCGTCCTAAAATGTGACTCCACTGTAGTCAAAGAGTAAAATTCAGCAGTATATGTAACCATCTCCTTGATACCGATTTATACTTACAGTCCAATGAACTTCAATTGAGGAGGAAGAAAGGATAGTAGGGTTGTGCAGATGTAGTACCACATCACCCAGCTCTCTCTGGACCTGCTTATGATCCACACCTTGACTTGTTGGTGGAACATCTGTAATAATTTAAGATTCCATTCTCACAAGTATACGTGATTGTTAAAATAAGTGTATATAAATACAAATGAATTTATCATAAATTATACCCTAAGTACATCCCAATAATGAAAGATAAAAACTACATCAAATATTTTGGGGAGCAAATAACCAATGTGTAGGCAGTACCAAAGCAGTGCACTGCACTTTGACACAGAAGCAGGAGGGGGATGCTGCATAAAAAGCCCACCCACAATCAGAGATGTCTTTGGTAAATGATCTCTGTATTCTTTCCTGCT